GCGCCATCACGGCCAAACGAAACTACGAGTGCGATCGCGGAGGAGTTTTGGATTGCAGGGGGGGGGGGGGGGGGGCGCGCGTTTATAGCAGCTGGGAATGCCGGGGCGACCCGCGGAGTAGCAATTCTGGCGCAGAAGATGGAGTGCGCGCATCAGAAAGTTCGAACCTATTTGCGAAAGGGTTGGATATGATGACGTTCGTAGAGGCGGATTCCGGATGCGACTCGTAACGGCGCACTTCCCTCGCAGTGGCTACGCGGACAATCGCGCGCAGTCAGTTTTTGATATTTTGGCTTGTGTCCAGACGGAAGCAGAGCAGCAGAACGCGTTCTTCGCTATTGGAGCGGATTGCAACGCTCAGGTTGGAGAGAGGGCCGACGACGGATCGAAGGGCGCGGCCTTGCACGGTTACGGACTGACAAACACAAGGGGGCAATGGCATAGACCGTGGACGGCGGCGCAAAAGCTAAATACATCAAATGCGTACTTCAAGAAAGCAAGTTCTGGATAGATGCGCGCGCCGTGGCCCTGGCAATGTTCCACGGCAGATCGATTATTTCCTGGTGAATCGTCGGTTCTGGAAAACTATCAAAGATTGCGGGGCGACGAAGATCTCTGACTTCGGCTCCGACCGCGTCGCACTTCGGCATCGCAGCGCCGCTTTGCTGGAGGTGCGCGCGGAGAACACCGCCAGCAAGAAGCGCCTGTTCAAATCGCATCTCGCTCAATGGCCTCCGCGAGACTTGCGCGTTCCAAAGCAGCGTCGGCGATGGTGCTCGTCAGCTCCCCAATGAATGTCAAAGCGGCGCAGCCCCCAACTGTGAACTGGTTGAGGCCAAACTATTGGAATCAATAGCAAAAGCCGGCAATGACAAAGCACGACCTAAAGACGCGCTGGGGAGGGGGGGGCCGCGGGCTAAGGCCACCGCTGCAGCAGAGGCGAGAGACCAGCGCAGACGATCTGATCCATTGACAAAGAGGGCGCTCAACAAAGAGATCTGGAGCAAAATCCGAAGCATGAAAAAGGAAAAGCGGAGACAGGAAGTCGACCGCATATTGCCATGCCGAAGCCTCAGGAGGATATATGGCATAAAAAACACAAATCAAACTGTCTCATTGCCAGCATGGCATGTGACAGTGGGGAGGTGCAGCGAGGCCGACGAGGGATAGCTGCTGTTTTTTACTGATTGTTGTGGCAATGTGTATCCTGATTTGAGTTGCGGGCATGGGGGCAACGACCCAGAGTGCTTCAAAGCACTTCCAGAGATGAAGGAGATCTCGCCGTTCACCGAGCAAGATCTAGAGACCGCTTCGAAGCGGCTGCAAAAAAATAAAAATCGGCGGACAGCAATGGCATAGTTGCTGAGATGCTTTCTTCTGGGGGCCTGGCGCTCAAAGAGATTCTTCTCTTGCTGTGCAACGACATTGCAAGTCTGAGGGCGCCAACGCCAGCATAGTGGAAGCACGCAGCGGTTAAAGTATTTTTCAAAAGTGGAGGCGCGATGTTGCCGCATAACTACAGGCCAATCAGCATGGCGCCATTACTGTACAAACCATATTCGAGAATGTTGCATAACAGGTCGATGCCGGTGCTGGACAAGAAGCAGCGCGCAGACCAAGCTGGGTTCCGGCCACAAAGAGCTACGACGGACCATCTTTTCACATTAGCCATATTAGAAGAAACAGCGGGCGAGTTTCAGGTCCCATTATGGGCAGTAGCAGTGGACTTCCAGAAAGCTTTCTCGACAGCGTCACTCATAGGGGTATCTGGGGCGCGCTGGATAACCAATGCGTTGAACCGGGGTGCGTTCGACTACTGCGAGATCTGCGCCGTGGCCCATCGGCAACCGCGCGAGCGGATTGTAAAGGCAAGGCGTTCAAAATCCAACGCGGGGCAAAGCAGGGAGATCCCCTCAGTTCCTTATTGTCCAATAGTGTTTCAGAGCACGTCATCAGCACCGTCAGAGCAGAATGGGTTCCATTGTTGTCGAACAAAGCTCGGCTGACAAACTTAAGGTTTGCAGACGATGTCTTTCTCCTCGCGACTTCCCTGAAGCACGCCGCCCAGATGGCGGGCGACTTGCGCGGAGCAGCCGGGGAAGTCGAGCTGCAGACCCAAATTTTGCACAACAGCTGCGGCGGCACGCAGAAATGCCAGAAATCACCTACCTAACGTGAACATCGAAGGCATGGAGATCGGGATCATACCTGTGTCAGGGCATGCAAAATATTCGAGCAGGAATGTTTTTTTTCCGACATCCACACAGTCGAGGACGGGAACCGTATTTCGATGGCGTGGAGAAGGTTTTTCTCTCTCAAACATGAGCTCGTTGGACGTAGGTATTCGCTGAGAGACCGCGTGCGTTTGTTCTGCGGAGTTATCGCGCCGACAGTGCGGCACGGCGTCGTGGACCCCTGCAGAAGAACTTGAAAACAAGATGCGCCGCACCCAGAGGCACATGCTCAGGATGATCAACCGGGCACCGCGCCGCAGAGGAGA